GTCCAGCAGCTCCTTCGGGAAGTCTTCCGCTTCCGGAGCAAACTGCCTAGACAGAGCGTCGGCCTGGATGTTCGTAACGCCCGGGATGTGCTCCAGCCCTTTGATCTGGTAGGCGCGGGTCGCTTGGTCGAAGGCGAACTCCCGGGCCAGCACATTGAGCTCTGCCGACCTGGCGCTGCCTTTCGAAAGCGCCTTGAGGAAGCCGAGGTTGTCCGACCTGGCCCGGAACAGCGATCCATGGGCCAAAGCCGGGAGCCAAAGCCTGAAGGCGGCTAACAAAGCCAGGCCCTCCCACAACGTATTGTACTTGGGCAGGCCCCTCTCTGCCTTGAACTTGTGGAGGACCGTGTCGGGGATATGAGTGTAGTAGTACCCCGTCGGTTTGCCCCCCACGCGTCGGACAGCTCCCATGCCCCAAGGCGAGGCGTCGGTGACGATCTCCAGGTCCGAGTGGGGCGGGTCTGCGTAGAACACTCTCTCGATTGTGGTCTTCCCCGACAGCAGGGCCCTTACCCAGCGAAGTGCCGGGCTCACCCTCTTGACATGTATGAGGTGTCGGGTTCTCCTCAAAGGTTTGCCCTCATTAGTCACATCATGTCTCGAGAGCGCCGCCCAGAAAGTAGCCAGAAAGGGCCGGAGGTGTGGGACGAGGCCGGCCACGAAAGAGAGCGCCCCGGCGTAGGAACGGAGCTCCCGTGCCCCAATGACCGGCTTGTTCAGAAACTTCTCTGTGTCCCGGAGAAGGGCCTGGACCTTGTTCGGCGGGAGGGTCACGACCACCGCCTTCTCGGCGTCATTGCATGAGATGCGGGCGCCGACCCATTCGATTTCTTTGCCACCGGTGGCCTTGGAGAGCTTGATGGGGAAGCCCGCGACCGCCGTCCACAACAGGACCACGGCGAGGTCTGAGGCCGCCAGCTCCTCTTGGGGGCCGTCCAAAACGTAGATGGGGTCATCCACGTAGCACTGGAGGTCTGACAAGGACACGGCGGCCGTTGACCGGCCAAGCCATGCTGCCATTCGACCCCAGATCGTTGGTGACGAAGCCGACCCAAACACCAGGGCGTTGAAGAGGATGACCCGGTACTTGCTCTTCCGGTTCCGGTTGCCAGGCACGGCGGTGGCGGTGAAGCGTCGGTCGCTGCCGGCGGGGACGTTCATGAAAGCGTCCCTGATATCCACGCCCGCGAGGAAGGGAGCTCTGCCCCTCCTATAGCACGCAAGGAGGGAGGCCACGACGTCGAGGAGCCTGGGGAGGATGATCCTCTCCCCTTGGTGGCAGGCTCGGTTCACCATCGACTCCCTGAGGTCCCAAATGACCCTCGCCTTCCTCACCTTGTTGCCTTGGGCGTCGGTCTTTTCCTTCACGAGGACCCCGAGCTTGTTGAGGACTGGCTCGCCGCCCAGCTTCTCACGAGCTTCTTTTGCGGAGCCCACCACCGTGCAGAAGCCCCGCTTGGTGTAGTCGTTGAGGAGCTCGTCGAGGGTTTCCGCTTCTTCCTCGGCTGAGGGGTAGTTCTTCCATCCTTCCAAGGTTCTGTGGTCCAGGGTGGCGCGCGGGACTGTGCCGCTGGGGCTGACTTCCGGGAACACACCATTCGAGACGATCCGTTCGGAGATGCCGAGCGGCGCCCCCTTGTCCAACCAGCCTGCAAGAGCGGCTGCGTCTGGATCCGAGGTGGCGAGGCCCCATGCTTCCAGCACCTCTGCGCGTAACGGCGTCTGCGCCGGAGCGGTTCGGTGCCTATGTCGCACCTCGTCCGGTGCCCCCAGAACTGTGAGCACGGCCTCCCTGACCTTGTCAATGAGCTTGTCGTTCAGCTCGTCCGGCTTCTCCCCCCGAAGAATGGCCCTGGCCGGCAGTTTGAGGCCCGGCCACTTGGCCAAGCAGCCCCGCAACAGTTTATGCAGGGCGCGGCCTACCTGGCGCGCGCCCTGGACTCTGTCCAAAGAGCGGCGCGGGTTCCTCATCCCGCCGAGTGCCTGGCTGTTCTGCTCCTCTCTTTCTGTCCTGGGCTCCTTGGGCACGAGGGCCTGGAACTCCAGGCCCGGGTCAGTTTCTTTTCACAAGTCCTCGGCCTCCAAGGCTCGCTGGCGAATGCCTTGGAAGAGCGTGTGGGCGACGACCTGGCAGAGGTGGGGCGGGTATTCGCCCTGGGCCCGAGATGCCCAGTGCTCGCCCGAAGCGTCCCGCGTCCGCTTCCCAGCCGTGCTCTCGTGACTGCCTTTCGGATGGTCACACTTGAGCCCACGGAGCTCGTTGAAGCCGACGGCGTGGGAGCTGAATAAAATCTTGGTTGGCTTCATAGTGCTGAGGCCAAGCCGGCACTGGTCGAAGACCAGCTCAGACGTGCGATCCAGCTCGGCTAGCTGGGCTAGCTGGCGCATGAGTGGCATCTGCCACAGCTCGGGCCTGTTGCTGCCATGGACGGGGTTCTCCAGGCCCCAGGTCCCCTTGTGGTCCCAGATCAAAGAAAGAGCGTCGAAGGTGCGCTCGACCAGGACGTTGGCCTCCTTCAGCTGCGCCTTCTCCTTTGGGGACAAGCCCCCTACTCCTTCAATCTCTTCGACCGTACGGAGTGGCCGGGGCCCTGGACGTACTTCACGAAGTGGGCTGAAGGTGCCACACGGAGTTGTGGCCCAGCAAGCCGCGAAGTTGCCGTCGTTGATGTCTTTCTCCACCTGGCTCCACTTCGCCTCGTCCAACACGTTGCAGGGGGTGTCGCAGACGAGGTCAAGGCAACAAACCATGAGGCCGTAGTGTGCCAGCCAGTTCGGGAGGTCCCCCTTTCGACGGCGGCCGCTGAAGAGCACCAGCACCCAGGGCCTTGTGACGAGGGAGTCGGAGGGCTGCTCCAGCCAAGTTCCATACTCTCGAGGCCCGCCTCCAGAGGCTCGTAGTCAGGGTAGGTGCTTTCCACGGGAGGTACCTGCACCAGGCTCTTTGTAGAGACTGCTCTGCCACTGCGCTGTCTCTTTGCTTTGCTCCCTTCCAGCCGTGGCTGGGCTGAGGACGCGGCTCCAGAAACGGGAGGGGCTGGCTTGGGCTGCCCTCGCTTCCGGCCCAACGCTGGCCTAGCCTCAGCCTGGGCCTTGCCTCAGCTTAGGCTTGGGCTGGACAAACCTACCGCCATGGGTGGTGCCAGGAGGTCCCGTGCTGGCCGAAGCGTCCCCCGGTGAGCCCGACGAGGAGCCGGCTGCGGGCCCCGGTTCAGCTGAAGCTGGCTCGGGTCAGCTGCGGGTGCAATCCAACGCCGTGTGCGGGCCAAGGCAAAGATTGCACTGGTGACTGCAGCCATCCTTGCATTTGCTCTGCGGTTTCCTGGAGCCGCACTTGCCCTTGTTGAAGTCGGGACAAATCTTGGCTCCCCTCCGGTTCTTCACGAAGACGCCGTCTTGCTTGACACTCTGGTCTTCGCCTTCGTACCGCTTCTTCTTCGCCTTCTTCTTCGGGGACCCGGCTTCGGCACCCTCCTCCGCTCTGCGGCCCGTGCTCGGCTGGCCTCCTCCTCCACGGTTGGGGCTTGCTGCTCGCCCCGGGCGCTGCGACAGCCAGAGGGTGGCAGGAGTGACCAGCTCTCGGGTCCAATAGTCCCCGTCGCGGATGGCTGCTGCGAACACTGCGTTCCATGGCCGGGCGGCTGTGTAGCCATGCGCCGGCTTGTCATGCAATGTTCTCCTGAGCCGTTCCATGTGCTCGCACCTCAACCGGTTCTCTGCACGATACACAAGCCACCAGGCGCTGTCCCCAAACTGGGTGACAAAACTCCTCACATGATCCACGTAGGCGTCCAGCCTCTCAGCGTCCACCGTCTCCAGGAGCAAAAGGGCCGTCCGGTAGACCTTCCAGGCTTTCACCCACGAGTGGTACGAGGATGGGCCCGGCTGCTCCTTCTTGGACCACTCGCCCGTCGCCACGTTCAAGGTGTAGCTGGTGAACGTTTGTTTGCGAAGCAGGCGCAAGCCGTGAGGGCCGAACAAGGAGAAGTCCGCATAGGGAACCGACCCTGCAGCCACCACTTGCTTGAGGGACGCCAGCTGGTCTGCCGAAGGGTCCGCCTCCGCACTCGGATGGTCCCCGAACTTTGCCTTGTAGTCGGCATAGAGCTTCTGAATTTCGAGGTTGCCGAGGGAGACCACATCGGCGTCGAGGGTGGGGTCCAGAACCGCCGACAGTTTGAGGCGACGGCTGCCGGCGCCTGCTTGTCCACTCGGTGCGGATGCACCCGGTCCTGCCACAGGTGCGGGCGCTACGGGCCCAGGCGTTCCCATAGAGTCTGGCGGGATACCCATCCTCAGAAGAGCCACTCTCCTGGTTGACTCGATTCGGGCCTGCTCCACCAAGGTGAGGTCACGGAGGGGCCCGGGATTTCCTTCAGCATCCACGGAACCCGGAACCTGAAGGGAGGCGGCCATCGTGTCCCAAGCCGGCCTAGGGACGAGGGCGAGCTCTCTGACTCGGGCCGGATCTCCTAGGGCTTTCCTGAGGGATTGTTCCAAGAACCCGGTCACGCCGGCCCATGTGAAGACGCCGGCCAGGTCCGTGATGGCGTTCAGCTCCGTCTCCGTCGGATCCATGGTTAAGCGCGGGGCCCTCGTGTAACACTGGTCCCGGTGTCGCGGCCCTCCGGGTCCTCCTCTTCAAGTTGGGCTTGGACTCAGGCACGTACCTCAAGGAATAGGTGCCCAAATGCGCAAAGGCCAGGGAGAGGCGCCTCCGGCTGCGCACGAAGTTGATTGCCCTCCGGGCGACGCGTGCCCACCGGTTGGCAGGGGCAGGTTGTGTCGGCGGGGCCCGGGTTACTGGTGCCTCGTACCCACCCAAGGGGCGACGACAGAGGCAACCGCAGCAAAGCCCGAAGACCCAGACACAAAAGCACAAGCTAGCGAGCTGCCACAAGCACCCAGTGTCCTCTAGGACCACGAGTGGGCCGCCAATGGCGAAACCCCACCCGCGAGTCTCAGAGACGACCACTAGGTCCATGCAGCAACCCACCTGTCGCTGAGCTCCACCCTTAAAAGACTCGGGTGTCACTCTTGACCCAAAATGGCCACGAATGACACAGTGACCCCACCATCCACGTTTACGACTGTCACTACAACAAGCGCAAGCTTAAGTTTTGCACTACAAATGCAATGTGGTCGCACAGAGCTTGGCAGCGGTGCCTCCATCTCCGTCGCCTGAGATCAAAACAATGCCGAAAATACATCAACTACCAGAACTAGCTACGAACATGAACCAAGTATCTTGGAATTGGAGCTTGTCGTCTAACTTGTCTGCGGCCTTTTCCTCACAAGGCATCACCCTCGAGAAGGATATGTATAAGACTGCCGCACCCCATCCTCAACGAGCTTGCGCGATGGATTGTCATCCTTGATCTCGCCCATATCCTCAACGCTATCGACGCATCAGAACAGTGCCGGCAACTACTTTGGCAAAGTCGGTGCCTGAAAGAGCTACAGCAATTTACTGAGCACACATGTTCGTAAATGGCAGGAGAACGCTCAGAAAGACTTCGCACTTCACTTCGACTGGCACAAGCTCTCACGCAAAATGCAGACCTCGGGTGTTGGCAACGCCGCCTGAGCCTGCAAGCACGTCAGCCTATCTTCGCTGTTAGCTCTTCCAAAAACAACAGGGCCTCTTCTAGCTTTGCCTCCGGTGGAAAGAGGACTGCCTTTGCCGCACTTAGCAACTGCCGCTGAGCTTGGCTGAACTTCAGTGTGCCGGGCCGGGGACTGCCTCTGGTTCATCCTCCTCCGTGTCCAGCGCCAATGTCTCGAAAACCTGGCTGCCAGCAGGTGTTGCAGGTTGGCCGACATGCTGTCCAAGCTCTAAATTAAACTCCTGTTCAAAGGATGTTCCTGATGTTCATGAAAAATGTCCAGAACTTGGCAGACCTTGCTGTCGCTCAGCGCCATCGTTACGGGACAGCAATCGTTGTGGCCACCGTCCACGAAGCACCTCCAGCTGTGAGGCTGTAGCGAACTTGATAGGCTTTGGACTTTAGACTTTAGAGTCAGCAGAGAATACGTAATCTTCAGACAGTTGCACGTCAAACGGCAAGTCACTCGGTGGTTGCCAGAAGAGAGCTGTCGTCACATGGTCCTCGTCGCCCACTCTGCTCAGGTCCGGCTGGCTGTGGCTTCTGAGCCATCGCATCTGCGCTTCCAAGGTGTCCACACGAAAAGGTCTCCGACTCTGCGGCCGAGCTCATGCCATCTCTTTGTTGCAAATCTGGTGTTCAGCGGTTGTAGGCCTGTCGGGAAAACTTTCATTTCTTTTCGACCTGTCGCTCTGTTCAAGCCTGCCGAGCGACTTCGGATTCCTCCTCGTCCATGACTGCTTGGCACGTTCTTTCATCGTTCAAGAGAACATGCATTACAGCCGACAGCTATCAAACAGCCCTACTTCATCGCGACATACGAGATAAATCCATGTCTTAGTTTGCTGAAACACCAGTCCCCTGCACACCAGAGCAAATAGAGTTTTGCGGGCTCAAAACACTTTGAGTCGACGAGGTGTACATTTCTTCCGGCAAGAGCAACCCTGCTCATGCCACAACACATGATGATTTGTAGCCCACCGGTACGCTTCTCGATCTGGGTAGAGTGACACAAGAAGGCGCGTTCAGGCACGACAGGTGTGAAAAGGAGCCGCCAGCCCCGGAGGCACACCGCACATGAAGGTTACAAGAAGGCGTCAACAGCTGCTGAACCCCGTGTGCACACGAGTTCGACACGACGATTGCGGAAACTGTGTTTTTCTGCGATGGGGGTTTCAGGTGCCTGTGACAATGTATGCATAAATGATCGTAAATGGTGCAAAACAATCTAAGACAACCCCATGTCAACTACGTAGACATAGACCTCTTCAGCACAGGCTGCAGGATCAGGGGTGTCAGCGACCGGCATGCTTAGGGGAGGGAGGATACTGCAGCAGCGATCCATGCGACCGAAAGCGCTTGCTACAGGAGGCACATAACAGGCTTTGTACGTGGGTTCAGAAACTGGGCATGGATCAGTGGCGCAGCACGACAGAGACTGGCCACAGAAGCGGAGGATGTCAAGGGCTCTTCAGATGCACAGATAGCATGTTTTCATGTTCTCTACTATCACAGTTGCACCTCAGCTCGTCCACGTGTGTCTTGGCACTGGGCTTTGTGGTGGGAAGATGATCTGACATCCTCAGCAGCTGATTAGGAAACCGGAGTGCGCTGAGAGCTCGAGAGCACGAAGCAGCCATCTTAAGCCCGGTGCTCGTGCATCAGCTGGAGCAAGCTTTGATTCATTTCCTGTAGTGACGTCGTGCTTCACCGGAAAAGTCTTAGTCTTGGACTTCACCCAAGCCCGGCCTTCTGAAAGTGCTCCAGGGGAAGGTCGTTGTCGTCCTGGCCAAATGGCATCTCGAGCTGGGCAGCCACCTGTGTCATGCGGAGCTTGTGGAAAGAAGGCTCTTCGACAAGCGGGCATTGTCCGTGCATTTACAGTCAGTCTTGAATCCTCTTTGAAATGTCTGGATGCCAATTTCTAGAGAAGTATGTCTGCGAGATCTGCTTGGTGCCCTCGTCCTACGCACGAAGTCCAAACGTGCTTGCGTCGAGCCTCGCGGCACTCCTGGTGATAACATGCCGCTTCAAGCACACCGTGCTTGCCAGTGCCGCGAGTTTGGGAGTCAGAGCACCGAGTGGAGTGCGAATCAAAAGAAACCCAGGGGCGAACTCGACATTGTCGCAGGCATCGGCTTCCCAACGAGGCGCGCCCTAAACCCTAAACCCTAAACCACGAACACAAGCAAAGGTGTGCAACTTTGCTAGGCGCTGGTCAACTGTAAATCAACTTTCGCTGATGGTCTGCACCTGGATGACTTGGAAGCCTGCGTTCGGTGCTTGCGTGTGCAGGTGTGCGATGACTGCAAGACTCCAACGGGTGAGCAATATTTCACCAGAGCCGAGCAGGGAACTAGCAGGCCGGGGAGGAGAATCAACAACATCAACCAATACCCCCGTCCCGGTTGACAATATGTGTACATACATACATACATTCATTCATTCATTCATACATACATACAGATGTACATACACACATAGATACATACATACATGCCGACATACAAGTCTGCATAAGAAACATACATATATATATATGCTTGAAAACGTCTGTGCCTGAATGCGTGCATGCAGGTATGCTTGCAACGAAGTCCTTGCGTGTGCGGTGCTGCTTTGAAAGTCTTGATGTGCGCAGCAGTTGGACCACAGATATGGAGATGGAAAGCTTGATGCAAAAAACTCTACTATACAGTCTTCTTGGTATTCATAAACAAACCTCTGAAAGGTTTTCATTGGATGGTGGCAAACCACAGAAACACGGACATATCATACATGATACGAAATTTACGACGAATGCAAACCTCTAAGACTCTAAGCCTGACAGACGCGACGAATCCTCCAACCCCCAGTTCAACAAGGGGGTGGGGAACTCTGAATCCTGGAACAGTGGGTGCTTGCAAATACAAAGCCAGCCTGGGGAACAGACAACACTGCACACTGAGGTGGGAGTGGTAACCATCCAAACCTTACATCCTGAAATATCCTGAAGAGTTGCGGATGAGCGAAACTTGTCCAACAAGCGAGAGACCATGGACCGAACTTTCACGAGTAGGTGACAAAGGGGTGGACAAAAAGCACAAAAATCTGTGTGCTTTCTGAACCATATCCATCCACCACCATGGAGTAAAGTACCCATCTGCGCTCTAGAACACACGTCGAAACAGGTGGCCTGCAGGTAAGACCCCATCCCATCCCAGATGCCTCTCTCCTATCCAACCCACCACTACTTTGCACAATGGACCGACGCGGTGTGTATTTTTCCACCCAAAACTAAGCACAACATCGTGTTAAGCAAACCTAGACTCAGTCCCGGGGCCACCCCGCGAAAAATTGCGTGGAACTGATGACAACGCAGGTGTACCTCCACCGCCACCATGTCAATCCACCCAATTCGTACACTACTCATTCCCGCGACAAAGCATTGGAGTACAATAGTTCAGGCTAGGGCTTCTTAGAACCTGCACCCCGGCCTGCACAACAAAACCGTCGTAACGCCCCTTATCAAAATCCGAGAGTCCTAAAACCCTGAACAAAAAACTGAAACGGAAGCTTTAGATTTTAGAGCTCCCAACCCTGAGATCTTTTATCTTAACCTCCGAACCCAAAGCCCGAAATCCTCAAGCCGTAGAAACCTAAAGCTCCACACCATATGTTTTGAAACTTGAAGCCCTCAACCTTAAATTATGCCTCTTAACTTCAAGACTTTAAGACTTGTACCCTAAACCTTACAGCCTGCAACAGCCTGCAATTTCTAATTCTTAAACCGACTTAACCCTGAAGCTGTTCTTCAACCCCCAAGCCCTACATTCCGAAACCCTTAACCCCCAAAGCCCCTGAAACCCGAAAACTTAAGACCTTCAGTGGATCTACCGTATAGCTCTCCGGCCAGACCTTGATGGCCCTTGGCACTGACATCGCATTGGTATTCCAAATCCTCTGGAAAGAAAGCCTCGCCACGCTATCGAACACCCTCCCGACTGTCCAAACGAACACGCCGCCCAAACAACCACCGTGCAGCCGAGCACGACTTGCGGATGGACTCGATTTCTAAAGTATGCGAGAAGCCTGTCTCACGGACTCCCTAAGCCGCCAAGGAGGCGCAGCGCGGTTGCGACATGCGCCACGAAGCAGCAGCGGCAACCGAACGTAAGGTCGCACGGCACGGCAAAGTTCCAACAAGCCGCCTTTGACAGAAGCTCCACCCAACACGTTGCCTCCAGACAGCAAAGTCCCCTTCAAAGGCCCAGCTCCGCTCAGGCTCCGCTTCCACAAACCAGCACTCCAGATCCAATTTTCCGTCGATAACAGGCATCCCCTGCTGCCACAGCACGGCGGGGCCGTGGTCAATCCCCTGCCCATCTTTCGCTCATGGGTTTTGCCTTCATTGATAGCTCTAAACCCTAAGCTTCCACGTGTAAACCCTCAAGCATTCGCTTTATGACACGAGCCATCCCCAATTCGGATTGTGCGCGGATGCTTCTCCCACTCTGTCTCTGCCTGAGACGCGCCCGGGAATCGTGCACACTTCACTCATCTGCAAATCTCCAGCTAGACCAGGCTGTAAGAAAGAAAGGAATGCAGAGGTTAGTCCAGCTAGTCACACGGCTTCAACTGCTGCAGCAGAATGCCCGCCTGATTCAGAGCGAACATGCCAAACACCGGAACGAAGCTGACCTTGGATGACAAGCTGGCTAGGACTTACGGCATCGTACATTCCCAAAGCCCGAATGCACCAGCGCTGGTTTAATAAGTTTCCGAAGTGAACCAAAAACCTGATGTGCATGCATGTTCACGTCGCTATGACACTCAAGCCTGAAGAAAACATGACCAAGCGCCAAGAGCTAGACCGGAGATGACATGTACCAACGACAGAAACTAGTTGCGTAGTAGGCGCGGGTATTGCCCACTGGTAGCTCGTCATGAAGGATGTCACCTTGGCTGACGACCACTGCTGAGCTAGTTGGGGTTGAAGCAACATGCAGCGCAGTGAAGTCTTTTGTTCTCCTGGGTCCTGCATCCGACATCAGCTTTTGCCAAGTGGCCACACAAGGGGTGAAGACAGAGTGCACTGCGAGAAGGATCATGATCATCTGGGCCCATGGAAAGGGGAAGTTCGTATCCTGCCACAGAGCAGTCTGATGTCTAAGCAAAACAACATCGAGACCACGATGACTCGTAAGCAGCGACACCCAGAGGCAGCCGCCTTGATCTTCACGGCGTTCCTGGCTGCACTTGCGACTGCTTGAAGCCGACAAGTCAAGGCCGTCGCATGGGCGGAGGGTGTTGCTCGGCCAACACACTGAAACTCAACCAAGTAGCAAGAGATTCACGAAACCTCGCGACAGAGTCTGATAGACACCTTGATTGCAGTCTTGCAAAACTCTGCACCACTCTCAGCCAAGGCAAGCCTCTACTGTGTCGTGGTGCACCGTTGCTCAACCAACTTCAGCGCAAGAGAACCACAAGGATAAGGCGGAAAGGTAGTACTAACTCGATCCAAGCACGAGAGAGGATCGGCGGCGGGATGTCCAAAACACCTTCAAAAACATCTGCTGCTGGCGTCACTTGCAAACAACCGCTTCTTCCCGCTGGTTCAGCTTCCCGCCTATGCGCAGATTGTGCGTAATGAGAACCTGCCCGCACGGAAGACCAGCAGCGTCGCACAGACTGTCGTCGGCAATATTCTAAATATCCGAGGCGACTCTCAGCAGCGTAAAACTACGTAGAACGAAACCGACCAGCAGAGGACAGTTGCTCGAATACCCCAGGTACTGCCACTTTGACAGTAGCTTTGCTGCCTCTGTAAGCCCTGGCCCTGACCCTAACGAGCCAAGTCATTGAAAGGGGAAGATCCAAATCCAAAGCACGATTGAAGCAGCAGGCTCATCTCACTGCAAGAGGTTGAATTGCGGTCTTTTGTCCATGTTTCTCAGAGCACACGCAATTGCACGGACTGTGCAAAGACAGGACACGCACTATGCATGTGTTCACGGTACCTTTCACCCGCATGACGCAGACCAAAAAATTCGCACCGGCCTGGATCATGTGCTGCAGGGCACAAACCTGACAGTCACGTACTTGTAGCAGAGGGGGGGGCGCAGTTGCGTTTTGCATTCGGATAGAATCGCCTTGTTCCAATCGTACTTCAGCTTGCAATCACGCAGGAAGCGCCTGAGGGGGCCAATGCGGAGCATAACAAAGGGCTTGATATGACAGCCCTCGCAGCAGTTACCGAAAAAATATCCACCCTGGCTAAGGTTCGTTGCAGAAGCTCTTTGGGACCATCTCTTTTGCTGAAATTGACAAATGCAAGAACCAACAATGCATCCAAGACGCAGCGTCGCGGAGTCCAGCGACATGACGTCAATGGTCTTGCAGGCATGCGATGTGGCTTAGAAGGCTACCCGGTGATTGGACGTGGGCAAGCCAGACCTGTGCCCGGCTGAAACAGCTTCATCCCGAAGACCCACATCAAAGGCACCTGGTAGCTGTCATCAGTGCTGCCGCTGATCTCGTCCTTGATTCATGGGCCCAATCTTCTAAAAGCCCATAAGCAAGGCATGTTTTGAGTCGAGGCTTGGGTTCACCAAGACGAGAAATTGCAGGATGCAAGGGCAAGCAAAGAAGCATCGGCGTGGGGTCTGGATTCCTGGACACTTCGACAAACGCCCGCTTCAGGCGTCATCAAGCATTGGGCTGTTTTTTGTTCCTTTGACCCAGTTGTTTCGCAGTGACAGGCTTCCGCTGCCCCTGAATCCGAAGTCCCGGCCCGCCCAGCGTTCCCGGCGCTAACTCATCTGCGGATGGCATTTTTCCACATGGTCACTGGTATCCGAATTGCTTTCCCTTTAAACAGCCCCGGCCATGCCGCGTCTGATCGCTCCATGTTGCATCATGTTACCAGCACAGGTTGTGGCCTAGCCCCGCTGTCCCAAAAGGGTCGTGCTTTCGCTCTTCGTGCTCTCCCCTCCCCCCTCTCCTCTCCCTCTCGTCTCCGCTCCTCCCTTCGTTCGCCCGGTCGCTGCCCAGTGTCTGCAAGGGTTTTCTGTGAGTTCTCTGTGCATGCAAGCTACTCACGTAGTGTGTCCCTGGTAGTGCTGTGTAGGAGGATAATCGTAGATAGAACTTCTGATGGCCTGAACCAGAGACGCATATGCAGAATCTCTGCTTTCGCTAAAGAAGGCGCCGTGTTTGGGGATTGAACAAAAGGCATCAGATTTAAGGAACATTCTTTCCGCCCGGATTGGGCCTGGAAGATTACTTTCAACTGCGACAAACGGGATCACATGTTCAAAACCATATTTCGGTGACCTTCAAAAATTTGTTTGCTGCTTTAACAAAAAATCAACGCTGTTTTTCGCAGCAGGACCTGCCTTTCGGAAGAGTCAGAGGCTGCCTTTCGGAGTCCAGCTTTTTCCACAAGCTGAGGCCCTTCAGAAAGCTAGGCTTTGTTACTGAAGGCCTAATCACAAATCATTCTTTCCTAAGGGACCCCTTACGGGGCCTGCCGGGAGGCCCTTCAGAAAGCTAGGTTTTTTATTAAGGGCCTTATAACAAGAAGCATTTTTTCATTCCTTCCTGAGCTACCCCTTACGCGGCCTGCCGGGCGGCAGCCCGAACCAGATTGATAAAAGGGACCACATTTATGGAAAGACTCCGGGCCGGGCCCGGCTGAAGATTCAATCCGGGATGAGCCAACAGAGATTCCATTAATGCGGGTTCCCGCGATCCTTATTCTGTGAGATTTAAATTGTAAATATATTTAATTCCTGGCCCCCACCGCTCCCGGGAACCCTCCCCAGGATTTAAATTGTTTAAATTGTAATTTGCGTTGCGTGAGGGTTTGTATGTTTTGTAATTGATTTCCTGTAGTGCGCTCACCTCACAGAGCTAGTTGAAAAAGGTGTGGCTACCCTAGAAGTTGATGGGGTAGTCGTTGGTCGCACTCTGACGGTTTTCCCCTTGCAGGCACTCGGAAAGAACTTTTTTCCTTGGTGAGGACGATGCTCAGCCGTGGTCTGTGCAGCGGGAATGACTCGAACCCTTTGACTGTGGTAGCTTACGCTGTTGGCACTATCATGAGCTTGAGCTCAATCTTGAGCCACAAAATTGCGTTTGCGGCAGAGCACTTGAAAGATATCGGAACAATCTGCAAATCAGGATTGTCCGTGCCAATAGTCTGCAGAGCAAGACTACGAAACATGGCTCGTAGCAGTCATTGCGACACCCAACTCATTGGACTAGGTATCGAGGTCCGCTCGCATAATTACATTATTTAAAGTATTAATCCCGCGCCCCGAATAGAATAATCTAAATAATGCAAGCCCGGGGGCCTCCCCCATATTCACATTACTTAAACTGTTTAAGAACCGAACATATCATTGTCACATTCTAAATCGGAAAAGTTAATTCCCAGGCCCCAATTATATACTGTCAAAACTTTAAATAAATTAAATAAGGTAAATCCGGGGGGGCGGCCCGGGATTAGTCTTTTTTACTTATTTAAAATATTCAGTTCCGCGCCCCGAATAGCATAATCTGCATAATTCCAATCCGGTGGCCTTCCCCATATTCACATTATTTAAACTATCTAATTCCCAGGCCCCAATTAAATACTTTAAACAGTTTAAATAAACTGCATAATTCATTTAGTTTAAATCCTGGGGAGGGGGCGGTGGGGGCAGAGCATTAAACAATTTAAATACGGAGGGTGGCCCAGCATTTACAGTATGCCACGCCCCGAATTGAATAATTTAACTAACGTAAATCCGGGGGCCTACCCCTGATTCCCGGCCCCATAGAAATACTTGAATCCTGGGGAGAGGGTCCAGGGGCGGTGGGGGCAGAAATCTAAATAATAAATCCGGGTGGGCGGCCCAGCATTTACAGTATTTACATTGTTTAATTCCCGGCCCCCGCCGCTCCCCGGGAACCCCCTCCCAAGGAATTCAAATGTTTGAACTATTTAACTTAGTTAAAATATTTAGATTATTCCGCGTCCCGAATTGAATAATTCACATAGTCTAAATCCGGGGCCTCCCCCATATTTAAAGTATTTAAAGTATTGAATTCCCGGCCCCAATTAAATACGATAAACAGTTTAAATAGAATAACAGGGTAAATCCGGGGGGCGGCCCGCGATTAATCTTTTTTAATGATTTAAAATCGTCAATTCCGCGCCCCGAATAGAATAAACTAATAATTCAAATCCGGGGGCCTTCCCCATATTCACATTATTTAAACCATTTAAGAACCGAACATATCAGTGTCACATTCTAAATCGGAAAAGTTAATTCCCAGGCCCCAATTATATACTTTCAAAACTTTAAATAAATTAAATAAGGTAAATCCGGGGGGCGGCCCGGGATTAGTCTTTTTTAACTAGGTAAAATATTCAATTCCGCGCCCCGAATAGCATAATCTGCATAATTCCAATCCGGTGGCCTTCTCCATATTCACATTATTTAAACTATCTAATTCCCAGGCCCCAATTAAATACTTTAAATAGTTTAAATAAACTGCATAATTCATTTAGTTTAAATCCTGGGGAGTGGGGGCAGAGCATTAAACAATTTAAATACGGAGGGCGGCCCAGCATTTACAGTGTGCCGCGCCCCGAATTGAATAGTTTAACTAATGTAAATCCGACCCCTGATTCCCGGCCCCATAGAAATACTTGAATCCTGGGGAGAGGGTCCGGGGGCGGTGGGGGCAGAAATCTAAATAATAAATCCGGGGGGGCGGCCCAGCATTTACAGTATTTACATTGTTTAATTCCCGGCCCCCACCGCTCCTCGGGAACCCCCTCCCAAGGATTTCACATGTTTGAACTATTTAACTTAGTTAAAATATTTAGAATATTATTTAATTCCGCGTCCCGAATTGAATAATTCACATAGTCTAAATCCGGGGCCTCCCCCATATTTAAAGTATTTAAAGTATTGAATTCCCGGCCCCAATTAAATACGATAAATAGTTTAAATAGAATAAACAGGGTAAATCCGGGGGGCGGCCCGCGATTAATCTTTTTTAATGATTTAAAATCTTCAATTCCGCGCCCCGAATAGAATAAACTAATAATTCAAATCCGGGGGCCTTCCCCATATTCATATTATTTAAACCATTTAAGAACCGAACATATCATTGTCACATTCTAAATCGGAAAAGTTAATTCCCAGGCCCCAATTATACACTTAAAAACTTTAAATAAATTAAATAAGGTAAATCCGGGGGGCGGCCCGGGATTAGTCTTTTTTAATTAGTTAAAATGTTCAATTCCGCGCCCCGAATAGCATAATCTGCATAATTCCAATCCGGTGGCCTTCCCCATATTCACATTATTTGAACTATTTCATTCCCAGGCCCCAATTAAATACTTTAAATAGTTTAAACAAACTGCATAATTCATTTAATGTAAATCCTGGGGACGAGGTCCGGAGGCGGTGGGGGCAGAGAATTAAGTAATTTAAATCTGGGGGCCGGCCCGGGATTTAAATGTTTTAACCTATTCAATCTGAATTGATTGAATTGTTTAATTTCCGGCCAAGTAAATAACCTAAATAAATTAAACTGCTCAACTAATCTAAATCCTGGGTAGGGCACAGGATAAATTAGATGAGTTAGATTACTTAAATGATTTAACCCTCGGCCCCAACTAAATAATTCTATTATGTTGAACAAATAAAATGTTTGAAATAATCTAAATCCGGGAGGGCCCGGGATTTCGGACCCCTCCCCAGGGTTTAAAATGTTTGAAGTATGTAATTTATTTAAATTATTCAAGCTGTTTAGTTCCACTCCCCGAAATACATAGTTTGAATCCAGGAAGAGGGTCTGTGGGCCTGTGGGGCAGAAAAGTATCTAATCTAAATCCGGTGGAGCCATCCTCCCTTGGTCCACTCCACTTCACTGCACCCACCCATCACCCTACACACCCTTACCGCTGCACCCCATTCACCCCATTCAGCTTCTGCCCTCGCGACTTCGCTTTGTCACCACCCCATCCTCGCACACTCCACCCCGTTTTTATCATCTCCTTATCACCTTATCAACTTTGATCACACTGTAATCACCTTTTGTCACCCTGTATCACCCTTTATCACTTTACCAATTCTTATCACTATCAGAATGCTATCACCGTTTTGTCACTATTGATTTGATTACTCTGTTATCATCTTTTTATCACTTGTATCAATCCCACCCCTCACCCAACCCCACCCGACTTACCCCACCACGCCACCTTACTCCATCCCGACCCCACACCTCTCTACACTGTCACCCCACAGCCCACCCCACCCCCACCCTCTTCTTCACCTCTCTCACTGCTCCCACCCTCCCATCCACCAGCTGCTACCCTCCATCCCCACCCCAGGCCTCTCCACGCCGTCACCCCGCCGCAGCCCACCCGACCTCCCACCCTCATCTCCACGCTGCTCCACCTCGCACACCCTCCCACGCTTTCCACCCTCACCCGACACGCCACTTTGTTAACCTACTCGGTGGCCCATTTACCGAAAAACAAAACCCCGTTTTGTCACCGAATGCTGCGGCCCCTTTCGCTTTCTTTTTTCACCGACAAAGAAAAGCCCCATTTTGTTAGTCTCTGCTGGGGCCCGGCCCCTTGTTATTTCGCCAGAAGAGGCACCCAGTTTGAGAACCATTTTCTGGCCCCTTTACCGAAACCAAAGCCCCACTTTGTTAGTTTACCACTTCTCGCTTCACCAAACAAGACACGCCACTTTGTCAACCCTTTTTTTGCGACCCCTTTACCGAAGAACAAGCCAACACTTTGTTAGCGAATGCTGTGGCTCCTTTCTTGTTCCTCTTTCTCGCCGAAAAAGAAAAGCCCCATTTTGTTAGTCTCTGATTGGGCTCGGCCCCTTCTTGTTTCACTCAAAACAAGCCCCACTTTGTTAGTGAATGCTGTGGCTCCTTTTTTGTTCCTCTTTCTCACCGACAAAGAAAAGCCCCATTTTGTTAGTCTCTGCTGGGGCTCGGCCCCTTCTTGTTTCACTCAAAACAAGCCCCACTTTGTCAGTGAATGCTGTGGCTCCTTTTTTGTTCCTCTTTCTCACCGAAAAAGAAAAGCCCAATGTTGTTAGTCTCTGCTGGTGGCCCGGCCCCGTCTTGTTTCCCAACAAAAGACACGCCATTTCGTCAACCTATACCGAAAAAACAAGCCCCACTTTGTTCCTGAATGCTGTGGCTCTTTCGCTTTCGTTTTTTACCACCAGAAAACTGACATTTCGTTAGTCCATGCTGTAGGCTGGCCCCTTCTCGTTTCATCAGGAAAGGCACGCCGCCAATTTGTTAAGCTACTCTCTGGTCCTTTTCGTTTCCTCCTTTTCACCGACAAAAAAGTTCATCTTGTTAGTCCCTGCTGTGGTCCGGCCCGTTCGTGCTTCAGCAAAACATGGCAGACCATGGTTTTTAAACTAGTCTCTGGAACCTTGCTCTGTCTTCTTTCACCAAAAAAGGAGACAAATCGCAAGCCTTGGTCCCTAAGATTGTTGGTGGCAGTTCTGATCCAATAATTAGAGAAGCGAGGTAAACCAAAACTGATAGGGACCAGGGCTTGCGATTTGTCTCTCTGTAGCAAATCTTAGACTAAAAATCTGACCGACCAAGGATCGCGATTTGTCTGTTTTAAGTCTTTGGAGTACCCGGGCCAGAGCAGGGGGCCAAGCAGGATGAGGGTGAAAAGACATGAGGGATACTCGTTGCGATTTAAGGTTTTCGAGAGATCATCGCCAGAAAAGATGAAGGGATGAGGGGCGCACTCCTTGCGATTGAAGGTCAACAACGCCTGAAAACGATGATTGGGACACTCCTTGCGATTCAAGGTTTTCTCGAGTTTTGTAGGGCAAGATGAATGGATGATGGGGACACTCCTTGCAAGTTAGAGTCTCCAGAGTACCCCAACCCAAAGAGACAAATTGCAAACCCTAGTGTCTCACATGTTGCGTTTAATCCCTAAGATGTTTTGCTGAAGTTCTTCTCCAACTGATAACTTCTCCAACTGATAAGGACGTAAACCCCAAAAGGATAGGGACCAGGCCCTGGTCACCAGGGCTTGCGGTTTATCTTTTTGGGGGAAAGCTTCGACTAAAAATCTTAGAGACCCGGGCCCGCGGCTTGTCCTTGTAAGTCTTTGGAGAAACCGGGCTAGAGCCGGGGGGCAAGCCAAAGCGGGATGCACGGCATATTCCCTGCAACAAAAAAAGATGTGGGGGGACACTCCTTGTGATTGAAGGTTTTCCAGAGCCTCATCACCAGAAAAGATGAAGGGATGAGGGGGGGGGGCACCCCCCCAAAGAAAGCCCTTGTCTTTCATATTCATAGAAGCCTGGCTGGCGTATGTGACCACACAGTTCCAGCTGCCAAACAGGCCCTATTTAAGCCGGGCCCCCTGACTGTTTAGATGCTCACACTACAGATATTCGCAACGCCGTGTTGTTGGGAATCTGCCAATGCTTGCATGACGCAGAAGGACCGCGGCCAAGCTCTGAGGCTGCCACCAGTGCCGATCCATGCATCAGCGACGTCAGTCTCACCAACGTCTGTCGGAACTGACTGACCTCCTCAAAAGTGCGGAAACATGCGATGCTTTTCGGAGCTCTGAGAAGCCGGAAAAAACTCGGATCCTAAAAAACTGACAACCCTGAATCAGAGCATTAAAATATTCAAACTGTGCAAACCACCAACCCCGAACTTGACATCCGGGCCAGAAACCCCAAGACTTCCTGCAGCGGCTGACTGCTCGCTCCAGCATGGCCGAAGGGTGAGTTTGTTTTAGCTGCAGACGCAAGCTCCAACCCGGCACCACTGTTTCATTCCTCGACAACGGAATCCGCCTGCTGCCCATTTTCTTCTGGCAGGGTGGTCAGTCTGCCGATACAGTCCGCGGATTGCAGGCCACACCCAGGGAGTGTAACCTCCAATCGCCGCACAATGCTGGCAGTTCGGGAGGATGCAGCATCAACAGGAAGGCAGCCAGACAATTGGTGTGAATCAAGCTCAGCGAGTTTGTCGAAGTTGTCTCAACTGATGTTCAGGCGGGCTTCGAAACAATCCACAGTAAAACGAACATGCCTTCCTCGCCAACACCAGCAAAATCAGGTGGCCCAACCAAAGCCAAGCTATGCGACTATGCTCACCCTGAGCTCAGAACCTCAGAAGGTTCACTCCCTCATCAGCTGTAGCATGCTTCGGGACAAAGCATTGCGAAGTCGTGTGTCATCCTTGCTGCACACTTGCTGCCAAAGAATGCAACACGATAAATCAACTGGCTCAGACTCAGAAGGTGTTCTGTGAATCCCTCAGCAGCGCGCACAGGCAAGCTTCGGGACAAAGCATTGCGAAACAAACGTGTCTTCCTCGCGAACATCGGCAAAGTCAAACGGCCCAAAAAAGACTATGCTATGCGGCTATGCCCACCCTAAGCTCAGAACCTCAGAAGGTTCACTCCCTCACCAGCTGCAGTATGCTTCGGGGCAAAGCATTGCGAAGCCGTATGTCATCCTTGCTGCCAAGGCAGGCTGCCAACACAAGAAATCAACTGGCTCAGACTCAGAAGGTGTTCTGTGAATCCCTCACCAGCGCGCACAGGCAGGCTTCGGGACAAAGCATTGCGAAACAAAATGTGTCTTCCTCGCGAACACCGGCAAAATCAAACGGCCCAACCAAAACCATGCTGTGCGGCTATGCCCACCCTGAGCTCGGAACCTCAGAAGGTTCACTCCCTCACCAGCTGTAGTATGCTTCGGGACAAAGCATTGCGAAG